CCCCAAAACCCCAAAACCCCAAAACCCCAAAACCCCTAGAGATTCATAAATATTGAAAATTAGAGTTTAAACCCGAAGCTTTGTTGCAAATAGACTTCATCATCCTGCGAAATTTCGTAGGAAGCCAGATCCTTATCAGGGTTGAACTGGTTTTCTAAAGAATCACTAGGAGACTTACCTAACGTAAGATCTTTCGGTTTCTCCTTTATAACATCCCTCTCAATTGTGAGGAATTTGTTACATTGGGATAATGTTCGAGAAGCATCTGAAGTCCGAGTATTCGAAACATCTTTCATATTGAAAATCTTTAGACAATTTCGAATGTTCTCTCTCGCGATTATCCTTTTAGTACGCTTATTCTTACTCAAGCTGATAGACTAGATAAATTAGAATAACACTCCACCTCTGGGTTTTTGTTTATCACAAATGGATGTCCTCTGGATAACCCTGGAGTGGAGTCCAAAGGAAATAGGGGAAGATCTCCAAACCTTCTCATAACTTTTGATGAACTATTCACTTGCTGACTGTGAGAATACCTGTATGCTCTAAAAGTGTCTTAATGTTCTAATTTACAAATAATTGTAAATTTAAGAAATAGAGGAAAGATACCTTAACATTTTCTGATTTCCTCCTAAGAATTTTAGTTTTAATGATTTTCTTGGATTCCTTGAAAACTTTGAAGGCAAGGCATTACTGATAATGTCTAAAATTTAGGGTACTAAGTACTTGTACGGGCCTTCATATTCAGTACTTCAGGCTTCAAAAATTTAGCTGAAGAGGGTCCTGAAAACTTCATGATGCCGGTATGTGAAGTAATTCGTTCTATAATCTATCAAAAACACCTTATTACTTTTTGATGTAAAATTACTCTGATCCAAATTAATAATTTGTGGGACATTCTTGTAATTTGATAAGCTAGTTCCAAGACTCTTGGACTGTGCCTTATCCTTACTTTCTTCTCTGATCTTGTCTCTTAGTTGAGAGAAATATTCGGAATTTTTAGAAGAGTTTCAAATTTTTAAAAATCTCTTTGACTCATTTTCCAACAGTTGTTGTTTCTTACCCTTAGCCTTAATTGAAGGAAGATCTCTAATATGATGCCGTGCTGGCTTGCTTATTTTTCTCGAGGAATCTTTCCCTTCGGATGGCAGCTCATAGAACTTAGATAAGCTTGTGAGGAAATTAGAATCAAACTTGGTGGAACTACTCTGATTCCGCTTTATTAAACTTTGAGTCTTCAAATCGTTCTTCATCTTTCTACTAAAATCACATTGCAATTTACATTGATGTTCGATTATTACTACTCTTCATACCAAGTTTGGCCTCAGGACTTTGTAATGATTTCTGACTCTCTATAAAATAGTCTTATGAGTTTTTTGGGATGCATGAATATCAAGAATACCTGTCATGAGTCCATGAGGAGTACTGAATCCACTCAGAGGGCTGTTCAAAGCTCGCCCATATATATTCTTCATTTATTCCTTAATAAAATTATACAAAGATTGGGGTTTTGGGGTTTTGGGGTTTTGGGGTTTTGGGG